TTACAGAACAGATAGTTTCTCATGTAACAGTAACACACATGCTGTTTTATGACATTGGTTAACAACCCCACAACATTTTAACCCTCTAAATTCTCAACTTTTTTTTTTTTTTCCCAGGGGTATTTTTGGTTTAAAGTTTAAAGATTGTCTCAAGACAATAGTTTTGAGGGCTTATCCAGCCTCAATGGCTCCAGAAAGTCTGGAGTCCATGCGAATTTGAAATTCTGTACTTCATTTTTTCCCCCTTTTGATCAGGATTTTTCTGTAGAATTTTTGATCAAAACTTTCAGTAATGGTAGCTGGACACCATCCAGTTCTTCTGGTCCCATGGCAGTGGAAGCAGTTATTCATGGAAGCAATCAGCCATGCATTCCATTTCCTGCTATTATTTCTGACTCTCCTTCCTCTGTTGCTCCAGGTGAATAGAGACTAATTGTTGTACCTTGAAACTCACCAATTCTTTTGTTTTCCTCTTCTTTGTCCTTTCTTCTTCTTCCTATTTTTTTTTTTTTTTTTTTGACCAAGCAGCAGAACAAGGTTTTCATGGAGATGAATGGTAAATACCTTCTAAGTGAAATGGAGCCTGACACACATTATTTGGCCCGAGTACGCTGTGCTTATGGCAACCACTTCTGGAAATGGAGTGAATGGATTGGTCGAAAATTCACCACACTTGAAGCTGGTATGTTCAGCTCCCTGGCATTTAACCCAGGGATCTAAGCTGACTCATAAGAGATGGGTTGGCATCCCTGAGAGCTTTTGGCAATACCAAAAACAAGGGGCAAAGTATTAAAACAGAGGCTGGGTACCATCTTTTTTTTAAAAAACCTAGATTAATTTCTTGAAGAGATGTGAATAGGCAGACATCCACTTCAGGTATTTGACGTCAGTATTATATCTATTGTGCATTTTCTTTCTGACCTTTAAGTTTTCAAAATGGTTTCTAAGCTAGTGCTATTGTTGGATTCATGTTGATCAGGACTTTGTACTAGCAAAGGCCTTTAATTCAAGGCTGGTGACAAATAGAAGTGATAATGCCAAGGAAAGCATTGGTCTCATACCAAGCAATTACAGGCTGTGTATGGAAATGTAATGCTATTTGGAAACATTTTTATTATAGTATTATTAGCAAGTCATCTATTTCAGTGACTGTAAACCGTGAGCCCTCTCCAGCATGCTCTCAGTGGACGAGTTTCCTAAATATTGACTGAATGGAGACAGACTTTCCCTCCAAAATAACTGTCTCAGAGCGTCAGTATAGCCTCAGGAGATTAGATTAGCAAACTCTGCATACTTTTCCCTTCAATTTAAGATCGTGAAGTATTATATTGCCCATTTTACAGATGTAGCAATTTGGCCCATAGATTGAAGAGACGTGCCAAGTTTGCAAAGTTAATAAATAACAGAGACTTAATAAAAATAATTATAATCACTATAATTATTATCATAGCTAGCAGATAATATTATTGAGTGTTTAGTATGTGTCAGGCATAGCTTTAAGTGCTTTCTGTGTTTTTGTCTTTTAACCCTTACAAAGTGCAGTAGATACTATTATTATATCCATTTTATAGATGAGGACATGGATGCACAGAGAGATTAAGTAATTTAATTGGCCTAGCCAGTAAGTAGGAACCCTGGTGGCACAGTGGTTAAGTCCTCGGCTGCTAATCAAAAGGTCAGCGGTTTGAATCCACCAGCCTCTCCATGGGAGAAAGATGTAGCAGTCTACTTCTATAAAGTTCTACTGTATCCTCTCAGGCCACTGAGTCAGAATTGACTCTACAGCAGTGGGCAGCCAGTAAGTGACTGAGCTGGGACTCACACCTAGGTAGTCTGACTCCAAAGTTCCATTCTTAACCAGAGCTAGATATTGTTGTTAGTACAACTTTGTGACCTTATTGATTCAGATCTTATATGTATTTATTTTTTCTGTCTTATTATTTATGTTTGCAGACTGGCAGGACTCTTTCTCCTTCATCTTCAGAGGACCATTTTAAAGCAGTGATTTCTAATTGAGGGGTGGTGAGGGCAGCTAATCGGAATCAGCACGTGGTGATGGTCGAGAGTCAAACTCACCTGCCCCCCTTTGCTTCCTTGATGGTTCCTGCCCACCCTCAGACTCCCCAAATATTCAATAATTTTTATTAGGGGTTCAGATTCTTCCAGAATCTCTCCTGTGGAAAGCTCTATTCCTGATAGGAATAGGGTATAGTCCTCAGTTTTGTTTTATTAAAGAATTTTAACTTAAATAACAGTTTTGCTTTAGGGTTTTTTGGTTTTGCGTATCAACCCTATAACTTCAAGTGTAAGAGGAAAATGGCAAAGGAGTGGAGTTTTTATTAGTAAATTGTTCCTTTATATTACGGTGTAATAAACCTGAAAATCCTTGACATTGCTTTCGATGATGACAAAAAAGTAAGGTGAATCTACTGATGGTGAACGTATAGTTATTTTTACTTCTGATAATACTTTGCTTAATGCTGGGAAACTCAGCATTTATGTGTATTGTAATTGTATTTCGGAGCCCTGATGGCACAATGGTTAAAGCACTGCTAAACGAAAAGTCAGCAGTTTGAATCCAGCAGCCACTCTGCAGGAGAAAAGACCTGGAGGTCTGCTTCCATAAAGATTACAGTCTAGGAAACGCTGTGGGGCAGTTCTGCTCTGTCCTATAGGGTCGCTATGAGATGGAGTTGACTTATAGGTATACTCATAGTGACCAGGCATAGAGCTAAATGACATCATAGTAGAGATTATATGGTAGGCATTGCTTTCAACTGTATGGCAGCTCTCTTGTTAAAAGTAGTAATTTAAAAATCAGCTCAAGACTGCTTTGAATTTGGAGTTGATTATTAGCTTGAGTATTCAACAAGTGTTTGATTTGATATTAGCTTCTCTGGTGGGTTAATTGTTTATCAAATTGAAATCTGCTTTAATAGATTTAAAAATATATAGGGTCACCTTTAAATTGAATGTAAAATGCTAACAACTGAAAGAAAAAGCACTTACTTAAATTTTAATTATTGGAGACAATACACTATATTTCTAAAAAATAGGGAGATACATCTTTATTATATTCCAAAACAATTCTTCTTTCGTAGCTATGTTTTGAATCAAATCGTAAACCAGTTGTCCTCTCACAAAACTCAATAAACAAAGGAACGTAGAAAAATTACTTTCCAATATTTGAAACAAGGTGAAACACAGACAATAGCTTTATTAAATTTTGTTAATTTTATGACAGAAACTATTTAATAGTCTCACGTTTAGTAGCCCAAAATTGTAAACCATTTTAAGATGGAGAATTTATCTTAAAAAATGAGAATTCATGTTGGAGATGCTATAATTGATTTTCGAATCAGAAAGCTAAGACAAAATTTCAACACATTCACAAATGTGGTTGAGTAGAGAAATGTTTTTAAGTCTGGATTTTAAGTCTGTTATGGTTGAGGTCCAGAATGGCATCAATACCTGCAAGTTCTTTTCTTGTTTGTCTACATGTTAACACTAAAATAGTGTCATTTGTATCTTGAGCAGTTATATCCTGATATCTCTTGTGGCTTAAGAATGCTGTAAAATCTCTTTTGACTGTTTTCCTCTTGACCTATTCATGAGAAAGTCTTCTTACCATGACAGACCTCTAACAGTAGAAAATTTGACAGAGTACTATACAAATATTAAACAATAATTTATAAACTAAAAAAATACCAATTTTAATAGTATTTTCATAGTATTTTAAATAAACAATGATTAAAATATCTTTTCAAGATTTTAAAATAAATTGTATTGATCTCACTATTTTTCCGTCACTGAGACATTTTCAATGAAAATTTTGTTTGACGTTTAAGCTGAAACTTCAATTGACCATCCCTTCTCTAGAGGTGGGTAGTATAATGGTTAAGAGCCTGGCCTATTTGGGTTCAAATCTTGGCTTCACACTTATAGCTGGGTGATTTTGAGCAGGTAACTTAATATCTCTGGACCTTAGTTTCCTCATCTGTAAAATGGGAAAAATAATTTTACCTACCTCATAGGGTTGTTATGAGTATTAAATAAATTAATATATATAAAGCACTTAGAACTGGATTGGTGCTTAGTAACCCATCTATAAATGTTCGCTATTGTTATGTATAATCCTCACAACTGGACCAATAAACAACATCATGATAAACAGAGAAAAGATTGAGGTTTTCAAGGATTTCATTTTACTTGGATCCACAATCAACATTGATGGAAGCAGCAGTCAAGAAATCAAACGATACAGTGCATTTACCAAGCATGATATCCTTATCCAGAACTGGTCCCCCTTGATAACGTGTCCAAAGTAAAGCTGTCTGGTAAAGTAGAAGGTCAGCGAAAAAGAAGAAACCCTCAATGAGATGAATTGATGCAGTGGCTGCAACAATGGGCTCAAACGTAGCCAACAATTGTGAGGATGGCACAGAACCAGGCAACATTTCGTCTGTTATACATAAGGTTGCTATGAGTTGGAACTGACTTGACAGCACCTAACAACAGCAACAACATTGTTATGGGTGAATGAGATCCAAAAACATTTTATATGGAGGTACCTAGAGTTGGTTTGATTTATAAAACTGAGCCTTCTCTGTGGTAGGTTGATTGAGCAAGCACAGACTCATGTTAAAAAAAAAAAAATCAATTTGCATAGAATGCGGAGCAAGGATGGAGACAAGGGAAGATTGGGACATTTATGCATGCTGGTTTCTGGGTTCCTTCTTTGTTTGGTTTTTATTCATTCAAAAAGCATTTATGGAACATTTGCCAAGTGCCAGCGACTCTACAGATTATTGAGGAGAAAGACAAGTAAGCAGACCATTCTAGAACAGTCTGGTGAGAGTGATGATAGAGGGCACCCTACAGAGGATGCCTTGGGAGTCCACAGGCAGGCAGCTGACCAGGGCTCAGAGGTGGTCCCCTCCTGCTGAGGGGCCAGGAAGAGTTCCCAGGCTATGACTCCTGTGAGAAGGCCAAACGATGTGAAATCATGAACACTTGGTAAAGTGCAACCTAGATGGGGCTCCATCAGTGTTTGTACTGCAACCTTCACAAAGGGGGGAAGAGAGTAACAATGGTTGGCTGCTCCTAGAAATTCAAAAAATGGAGGCAGTCATCCAAATAACCTCCTAGAATTGTTCTAACAGACAAATGATTCCAAACTTATTTGGTGGCTCCCAAAAGCTCTAAAGCTTGATGTCATAGAAGCTTTCAGTTTGATGTCACGTTCAGATGCAACTGACCTACGTGCACATGATAAATGGGGAAAAAATTGAAGTTGTCAACTGTTTCATTCTGCTTGAATCAACAATCAATACCCATGGAGGCAGCAGTCAGCAAATCAAACGACATCTTACATTGCACAGATCTGCTGCAAAAGGCCTCTTTAACATTTTAAAAAGCAAATATGTCACTTTGATGACTAAGGTGTACCATGTCAGAACTGATGCATTTGAATTATAGTATTGGTGAAGAATAGTACTGAATATACCATGGACTTCCAGAAGAACAAACAAATCAGTCTTAGAAGAAATACAATAAGAGTGCTCCTTAGAAGTGAGGATGGTGAGTCTTCGGCTTCCTTACTTTGGACATGTCATCAGGAAAGATCAGTTGCTGGAAAAGGACATAATGTTTGCTAGAGAGTCAGCAAAAACGAGGGAAACCCTCTATGAGATGGATTGACACAACAGTGGTCTCAGGTATACAAATCATGAATATGGTGCGGGGACAGACAATGTTTCATTGTTATGCATAAAGTCGCTATGAGTCAGAGCAGGCTCGACAGCAACTAACTAACTGTGCACTAGAAAGGAGTGAACAGTGTCACAGGGAGTGAAAAAGTGAGAAGCAAGCCTCAGGCACGATGTTGTTAGCTGCCGTTAAGTCACCCCCCGACTCGTGGCGACCCCACGCACAATGGAATGAACCACCGCCTGGTCCTGCACCGTCTCCATGATGGGTTGTAGATCAGACTATGTGATCCGTAGGGTTTTCAGGTAGGGTAGGTAGTTGTCATTCCCTTGAGTGAACTAGAGTAAGGTTAAATGTATTGCTGTGCGTAGATATTATGACCAAACAACTTTCCTCTGGTTGATTCCAGCTCCCTTGGCAGCTCTTGATGTCTGGAGAAATGTGAAATCAGTGCCAGGAGGCTATAATGTGACATTATTCTGGAAGGTAAGATGCCCAGATTCAGAAAGACAGATTTGCTTGGCAGTATGTCTTTCATTGTGGAACTATGGATATTGGCACAATTTTCCAACTTGGAGGAACCTAAATGTTAATCCAGGAGAATTTCTTACGCAGTGTGAGAATCCCCGCTACACATCCATGTCCCTTATGCTTGGACATCTGGTGAATGAATGTACTACATCCTTGACAACCCATTCCAATGAGTCCTGACTGTAGAACCTTCCTCTCTGTAACTTCTACTCAGGCCCGCGAGTAACTTCTTCAGGGCCCAGGACAAGTATTAATGGAAGACCACATACCATATTTAAATAATTAAATACTCATGATGTTTCACTTCAAAGTTATGAATTAAGATAACGAAGTGTAATATAAATATATTTTATCCTTCTACCTTGACTAACATAACCTGCATAACAACCGGGAAGGCCAGGTTTGTATTCAGAATTCATGGATTCCTGAGTTGTATTCTACAACATGGCAATACTGGGAGATGGCCCTTGATCACAGCCCACCCCTCGTGTCTTCCCACTTCCAGCTTCGGCCCACTCAGCAAGGACCCCGTTACACACGCAGGACACACTAGTCTGTGTGTTCAAGTTCTGTCCGTACCCCAACCCCCAAGCAAACAGGCACTCCCAGCCAGTTTTCCAGTCTAGGAGCACACACCCCAGTGGCACCATGTGCCCTTGGGAAGGTGGGACCGAGGAACAGGCCCTGGAAGTGGACTTGGGGCTATTTGGGCAGGGAATTCTCTGCGACCTGGAACGTGGTCTAGCAGAGGAAACTGTGGCTCTGGGTTTGGGGAGGGGCACAGCTGGAGGAGGGGTGAAGCCAAGAGGAGCTTCTCATGCTAGGGGCAGAGAGTGGTACTATTTCTACTCATGCTTCTCCTATCAGGGATCCCCCCACCACCCGGAGTCCTTTTTTCTGCAGGCTAAAGAGTCCCCCTTCCTCTTGATTCCTGACTCTGTCACCCTTCTGTAGACACATTGTACTCTTGAGGGTCTCTTCCCTAAGTCACCCTCTTCTCTACTCAACTGTATAGTTTTAGATTAGAATGTCTGACTTCAAGCTTGGTTCAGAGGGTTACTGTCTTTAATAAATCATTGGAATTTACTGATTTGTGCGTGTGTGTGTGTGTCTGTCTGTCTGTCTCTCTGTCTGAGGAAGGCAGTTGCAGAACAGAAAAGATGGAAAAGTAATTATGCAAACTTCAGAGTAAAGCCCGTTTTGAAAGGATCATCGATATTTTCAATATTTTTTTCAGCCATTATCAAAATTTCATGCAAATGGAAAGATTCGCTTCTATAATATAGCTGTGGAAAATCTAGACAAACCATCCCAATTCAATCTCTCCATTCTTGCACCGAGCAATAACACAGCTCTAATCCTTCACAAGTATTCTTATCAAATCCGCGTCACAGCCAGCAACAGTATGGGCACTTCTCCTGCCTCAGTAATTGTCATCTCTGGAGACCTTGGAGACAGTGAGTTTTGTTTTGTTTTCATTCTCTAAGAAAATCTTGATGATATTATCAGGTAGATATGGATAAATTGGGAAGACAATAGCGTGGGAAGATAAATGTCTAGCCGCGGCAAAACCATTTAGTCGTTTTCTTTTGGGCCAGGCATGTCAACAGGTTTCAGCGGGAAGGTCCTCCCCAGTGTAGGAAGAATGAGATTTCACCGTAGCTCATGACATTCCTGCCCTGGGATTTCTTCAGCATACTTGGAAAATTAACCTACATTTGTTCAAGTAAATGTGACACCAACAAAGGATCCTCACTGAGACTTAGAGTTGGTGCTTAAGTGCTTTGTGGCTTGTGAATTATGAGTTGCACTTATTGTGTTGTGAAAATTTTGTTGGAGTCCCTGGGTGGTGCAAAATTGCAAAAGGTTAACGCGCTCAGCTGATAACCAAAAGATTGGCGGTTCAAGTCCAGCCAGAGGCACCTCCAAAGAAAGGCCTGGCAATCTACTTCTGAAAAATCAGCCACTGAACACTCTATGAAGCACAGTTCTACTCTGACACACATGGTGGCGTCATGAGTCAGAGTGGACTCTGTGGCAACTGTTTTTTTAAAATTTTTTTTTATTCTGTCATCTTCCTCGTATATAAAGAGCCCATTAACATTTCCCATGATGGTAAGAACTGGCTTCAGCTTTCAATAGGGGCCTTGCCAAAATCATAGGGAAAAAAAGATGATAAGTGGCTAATATCTTGGCCTGTGAATGACCAAATGCGGTGGAAATGACCTTATACTTAAAATCAGTACTGATACTAATTTCCTTATTGGGAGAGCTGTAAAAAGAGGGTGGGTGCTGTAACACTGTGAGACAGTGCACACTTGGACATAATGCAGTTGGCAGTTGGCATCGCAAGGCCACTTCATGAACCTCACAATAATGCTGACTGGTATTGAATTTCTCAGACTTGGTTAAGGCAGGTTGTATTGTACCTATCATCCAAATTAGGCTTAAATTTGGGCTAAGTGGACTGGACTAGAGGCTTTTTGTTTCGTTTTATTTTGTTTTTTAAACTATCCAGTGTGTCCAGTAAGAAAAACAAATTAGGATTGCTCCACAGATAGACAACTAAACAATTTTTAGTGTAACCTTTGCTTTGTGAAGAACTGTATTAGAGAAGGAAGTCATCAGTTGTATTCTGTCTCCCTGAGGAGCAGAATGGGAAACAAATGGGCATTTTGCTCAACTTGGGGAAGCTGGCGGACTGCCTCTCATGGGGCCCAGTTCAAAACAACCTTACTGAGTGCTGTCATCTACTTTAAGGTTGTCTTAGTTACCTAATGCTGCTGTAACAAAAAGCACCTCAAGTGGGTGGCCTTAAAGAACAGAAATGTATTTTATCACAGTTCAGGAGGCTAGAAGTCCAAATTCAGGGTGTGGCCCTAGGGAGAGGTCCTTTCTTGTCTATTTCAGCTTCTACTAGCTGGTAATCATGGGAGTTCCTGGGCTTGTAGATGTTATCTATGGTGTGTGTCTGTCTTCCTCCTGTGCGTGTCTTTGATTCTATTCTTTATATAATTCAAAAGTGATTAGGTTTAGGACTCACACTACTCTTGTATGACCTCATTAACATAACAAAAACAAAACCTATTTCCAAACAAGATCACATCAATAGGTATAGGGACGTACGTAGTCAATACATGTTTTGGGGAGACAATTGAATCAAGAATAGGCATCTTCTTATCTGTGGGTTCCTACCATATCTTCTGTCTCTCCGTCCCCTCCCTGTCCCAGAAAAAACCAACCCATTGCCGTCAGGTCAATTCCTACTCATAGCGACCTTATAGGACAGAGTAGAACTGCCCCATGGGGTTTCCAAGGCTGTAATCTTTATGGAAGGAGACTGCCACAACTTTCTTCCATGGAGTGGCTCATGGTTTCAAACCACTGACCTTTTGGTTAGCAGCTGAGAGCTTAACCATTGCACCAGCAGGGGTCCTCTTTCAATCCCCAGTACTCAGAATCCCAGATCTTCCCTTGTGAGTCCCTGTCTAGCTTTCCTTAAATGGTCCACATTGTTATATCACTAGTGTGGATAAAGTTGCTGATGTGCTATGAGGAAAAAAAAAAAATAAGATAAAGCTAATTCATACTAGGGTGTTAATGACTGAAAAAAGTTTTCTCTGACTCCTTCCCTCTGCCTCCAGCCCTCAAAACATATTTGCAACTTGAAAGAAGCAGCTTGATAGATAACAGATATGACTCTGAGTTTGGGGTGCAATTTTAGTCAGTGTGAATGAGTGAAGTGAAAAATTTCAGCCTCCATATGAAGGAAATTTTTTTCTTTGATGGATGAGAGCAGGTAGGATATACAAAGGCCTTCTTGGAGCCCTTTACCAAACAGTGAGGGCTACACATTCTTTTGTATGCCCTCAACTGGAAAATAAATTGCTGCCCTAGAAAAGTTAATAGCATGGTGCTTTCACACCACCTTTGTTTGTATGTTTGCTCAGCTGTAATTAGGATTGCTGGATAAAATAGAGGACCCCCGGTTAAATTTGAATTTCAGACAAATAACAAATACTCTTTTAGTATAAGTATATCCCATCAGTGTTCTGAGCAGCTGCTTGATCAAGGTCTACTTACAGTCAGTGACCAGCTTGGACCTCTGCCCTGATGCCCGTGGGAGGCTGTGAAGTCAGCAGCAGGAAATGAGAAATCCTCATCCCTCGGGGTCTAGGTGTGGTCCTGCTTGAGATCAGTGAACTGGTAGGCCGCTGACACCATATCATCTTTTTTCCAAAGGTTAGACCTTAGGAAAACTCCCTGGGCATATAAAATATGATGAGATCACAGCCTTTGTCTTAAGTAGTGTGCACATCCTTGCATAATCAGACTTAGTATATATCTGACTTTTCTTTCTTTTTTTGTCCCCGCCTCATTTCCTACCCCTAGCATTTCAGGAGCAGTAAGTAGTTCAGGGGCAGCCAGCGTTGTTGTGAGGGAAGTAAGCTGCTTTATTCATTCATTCAGCATGAAACAGATATTTTTTAAAGCAGACCAAGTACCAGACACTGTTCTAGGTCAAGAGTAAGCTAACTTTTTCAGTAAAAGGGCAGATAGTAAATATTTTAGGTTTTGTGGGTCCTATGATCTCTTTAATAGATCCTATTTTCTTTCTTGTTTTTTTTTTTTATTGTTGTTGTTTGTTTTGTTTTGTCTTTACAACCTTTTAAAAATGTAGAAACTGGTCTCAGCTTTAGTAAACCAGCAAACCAGTTGCCATCGAGTTAATTCTGACTCATGGTGACCTCAGGTGTTTCTGAGCAGATTGTCAGGCCTTTCTTCTGAGACTCCTCTGGGTGGGTTCCAACCACCAATCTTTCAGTTAGTAGCCAAGCACTTGATATATTGTTTGCACCAGCCAGGGACTTCACTTATAAAAACAAGCCCTGGAGGCTGGATTTGTGGCACAGACTGTAGTGTGCTAATCCATTTTAGGTGTTGATGCCTGATTGGGTCTCAGAAGGTCAGGATAAAGGACATCCAAAGGTCAGATGTGGATACATGCTGGGAAGTGAAAGGCATGGAAATACCCAGGAAAACACCCGCCACCCAAGGGTCCCCCGTGGCCTATTAAATACACTGCATGTTCACATTAGTTTTCTTCTTTAGGCACTTTAAAAAATTTACAGTTCATTAAATCTGAAGCATTGCTCTGTTTGTTTTGTACAGAAGACATTGAAGAAGAAAGAGTTAAAGGCACAGAAGATGGATTCTCTCTGTCTTGGAAGCCTCAATCCGGAGATGCCATAGGCTATGTTGTGGAGTGGTGTGACCATCCCCAGGATCCACTCTGTGGTCTCCAGTGGAAAAAACTAGGCCCCAATACCACAAGTACAGTCATCACCTCGGGTAAGAAAAACTTTCCATGTTACCGTCTTACTTCATCCTATTTTGCAGTAAGTTCAACTAGAATTTCTGAACCACCTTACAGATAATTTGACTTTAAGCTAATAATTTTGAAATTACAAATCCAGCATGGGTGGTAGGAGTTCACATTTTATAATGTTGTGTTCTAAGATTTGTCAGTTAGATCTGCTTTTATAGAGAACATCTGGACCTAAAGCTGGGATTGGTTTTTCCATGGCTTTGTTAGCATAGTTTTTCCTGTTTAAGTCAGTGGCCTAAAATGAACAGCAGAAGGACGATATGTAACAGTTGTCCACAGAGCCTTTACAAAGGCAGAGAAGTAGATGGATTTAGTAGATGTTTAAGACAGAATTGAGAGTTGATCATCAGCTCTTTCAGTTTCAATAAAATGTGTAGGACTTGAACTCTCACCTTTCACACTGAATTTGTAATTTGAAGATTGCTAGTTCAGCAAAGGAGTCAGTCGCTAGGTGGTGCAGTGGTTAACACATTTGGCTGCTAACCAAAAGGTTGGAGGTTTGAGTCCACCCAGAGGCTCCTTGGAGGAAAGGTGTGGTGATCTACTTCCGAAAAATCAGCCTAAAAGCCATATGGAGGACACTTCCACTCTGACACACATGAGGTCGCCATGAGTTGGAATTCACTCAACGGCAACTGGACTTTAGCAAAGTCAGAGGAGCCCAGGTTTGTGGTTTGAGCAGAGGGGTTTGTGGCTCTTGCTGCTGGGCTCGAGATGAAGGTGTGGGAATTGTCTGCACCCAGAGGGTGATAGAGGGCCCCTGTAGGGTATCACCCTTGGAGAATGAAGAGGTAAGGGCTTGGCGGGACCCTTGGCAAGGGCAGTTCTAATGGAATGGTGGGTGCTGGGAGCAGATTGCATAGACAGAGGCGTAGGGGGAAAGTGAGGGAGCAGAAGGAAAGCTTTCAAAAGGCTTGGCTTTGAATGAAGAGAGAAGGCAAGTGACTGGAGAGGGTTTGGGAGTCAAAGCAGGGTTTAATATGGTTGTACGTGTCTGGTCTAACTCTGCACTCAGTTTCTTGCGTACAGATAAGGATTTGGTTGAGAGAGAGCTCTTGTTCAAGAGAAGGTGTGGAGGACAGTCCCTGCAGGCTTGGGTGGAGACAGTGGTGTAAGGTGTTCACAACGTGAAGGACTCCAAACCCTAACGGAAGCAGGGAAGATGGTGCACGCAAAGTGCAAAAGTCCTGAGAATGAAATTATTCAGGAAACACAAATTCATTTTTTCATTCTCATTTCAGAAATAAAGAGACTATCATTCTGTGGTGTTTAAAATCAGTTGACTTTTCTTTTCTAGATGCTTTTAGACCAGGGGTCAGATACAACTTCAGAATTTATGAAGTATCTACAAAATGGATTGCTTCTTTATTAGAGAAAAAAACAGGATACTCCCAGGAACTGGGTAAGTTGAAAGCATTGAATGTGCTTTGTGTGCAGAACAATCTATAGATTCCTAGCTTTGGACTTAGGACAATTTCAACACTTTACCTAATTGTCAGTTTTCCATTTATTCTGGCAACTGCTTTTTTTTATTTTGTTTAAATCATACAGATGTAAAACATTTTCACTAAAGACAGTTAATAAAATGTTAGGCAAAAAAAAAAAAAAAAAACAAGGCAAATCAGTGCTAATTTTACCACCAAAGGGCAAATAAATGTCCAGAGTTACTAGTTTATTGTAGTTCAGGTAATTGCTTTCTCTGTACATGTACACACTTTTAAGGTAAAAATGGGAGCTTACTGTATGCACTGTTTGTAAACTGCTTTTTTGACTTAACCATGTCATTTTTATGACTACAAAGTGCCTCAGTGTATGCATAAATCAGATTACCTGTTGGTGGACATTTAGGATGGTTACAACATTTTTCAACTACAAACTATAAAATTCATCTTTCAGTATCTTACAGTTCCAAATGTGCAATCTCTCTTTCTTCAATCTCTTATACCCTGTCTGAGTCACCATCATTTTAGCTATATGTTTGTCCATATCTATGATTATTTTCTTTGAATAAAGCCTTAATACTCTTAATATGTGTGGTGAAATTGCCCACCAGAAATTTCAGCCCTGTCCCACCAGTGGTGTAGATTGTTGACTCTACCATGTGGTTATTTATTAGCCATCCTTGGCATACAGGGTCCCAAGCCCAGGAGAGCCGTGCAGCTGGGCCCCTGATTGCTTCGCACTAGTCAGACCAACTCATGGGGGCCCTTCTTTTGGTGGGGGTTGGCCACACTTTACAGCAGGCACTCTCCAAGCAGGCAAGACGTGTGTGTTTTTTTTGTGTGTGTGGTGTGCATAGGCCCAAGTATGCACAAGCCAGTGTGGCAAAACAGGCTCAGGGAGGGCTTCAAAATAAATGCTGCTGGATTTTTTCAGGGACATTTGGATAACTTTGCATGGTCACAGCCAGGAACTAGAGTTCTTTAGATTCACCCTCACCTCTCTGAACATAACCTCCTTTTCCTCCCCTTCCTCCTCACTTTAGTAGGTTCTCTGGTTGGGTTTTCTCTCAAATAGTATTTAGAATTCAAGAATGGAATTAAGTCTAAGAAACACTTTCAGTCTCTTTTTTGCTGTGTGACCTGTGCAAGTTACTTAGTCACTCTGGGCATCCATTCTGTAAAGGCAAGCCTTGAGCAAGAGGATTGCTGAACTCCTTTCCTACTCTCAGAAACTGTCAGACTATGGAGAGAAAGAGAAAACTCCTTCATTTAGCAAAAGCTCACATTTCTAGAATTGACAGCAGTTCCATTTTTAGTTAGCATGAATGCTCTGAGAATATTTTCCAAATCATGACTGTGTTCTTACCCCAACTTCCTTTCCTAGCTCCTTCGGACAACCCTAAAGTGGCCATGGGTAGCTTGACATCCCACTCCTTCACTCTGAGTTGGAAGGATTATTCCACTGAATCCCAACCTGGCTTCATAAGAGGGTACTATGTCTATCTGAAGTCCAGGATGGAGCAGTGCACCTCAGGATTTGAAAGGACGGTTCTCTCAGGTGATGTTGGTGTTTTGGTTTGTTTGCTTTTTTAAGATCTCATTATTTGAAATAATTTGAAATGTTGCCATCACTGACTGGCCAGGCTGAATTCTATTCTTGCGTGATCCTTTCCAATTTTTTTTCCTTTATTGTTGTAAAAATATATATGTATATATATCACAGCGTTTCAATTCAACATTTTTCAGGTGTATAATTTAGTGACATCAGTTACATTAATCATTTTGTGCAAATATCATCTATCGTTGACAACTTTCCCATCACCATAAGAGCAGAAGAGGTTCTTAAACCAACTAGTAGGAAGAACAGGATGGTGGGAACTGATAATTTACTTGAAAAACACTGTGGCCTAGTATTTTTAGAAGCACTTAAAGCACCAGTAGCTACTTAAGAAAATCAGACACTTGGGAAACACTCTTGCTAGTCTTTTTTTCTTCGACTTCATTAAATATTATTAAAATTTATTTCTAAGTCTCTTGCACGCTCTTGGCGGCCTCTTGTAGATTTGTATGCCCTACCTGGGTCACCAACACCCCTTGCTTAAATGGATTTCTTGCTTTTCCTGCCATCTCCTGAAAATTTTACCAGTGTGGTGAAATTATGATTTAATTTTTGGTTGGTTTAAAAACATTGACAGTGCAGAGTCAGAGTATCCATGCCTGACTCTTTCACAAGACCTCTGTCACACTCTTAACAAAATAATTTTGTCTTGAGGAAAACTTTTTTTCTTTTTAATCACAGATGCTCCGGCAAATTGCGAACACAAAATTGACAACCCAGAACAAAAGACATTCACTGTGGAAAACCTGCAGCCAGCATCTTCCTATGAGGTTTTTGTCACTCCATACACAAGCACCAGCAAAGGCCCCAATGGTACTTTCACAAAGGTCACAACTCCAGATGAATACAGTGAGTTTTTCCAAATCAAAGCTCTTCCCTTTGGTTCCTGGGAAACTAACCAATTCCACAAACATTGCCTTTGTCTTTGTCTAGGTTAGGAATTTTCAAACCTTTCCTCTCACTCTTTTTCTCTCTTTCTTGAGGTGAAATCCTTTGTTTTACAAAAAATGTTACATAAAGCCTCACTACATAAAACAGGTAAGAGTGGAACCACTGACTGAATTATGGCCTAGGACCTTCCTCTTGCCTTCCTCGGTGACCCCTGAGGCAACTTCTCTGGAACACAGCCTCAGAATAATTTGAAAATCACAGACAGCATATTTTAGTGATGACTTCTGAAGAACCACAAGGCCTCTGTCTAGAGACGGGCAGTGGTGCTTTCCTCAGCAGAATTGCTGTCTGCAGCCAGCCTTCCCAAACTGGTCTCACTCAGCGACACACTAATAGCTGCTTGACTTTGTCAGCTACTCCAGGGGCAATTAGAGACAGTTAGGTTGGGGTGGGGATCAGGACAGGAGCAGGGATTATCTGTTCACACACTCCATGTTTGCAAATTTGGTGGCAGAAAAGGTGAAATGAAGGGGTCAGTATTTTCAAAATGTATTTGGTTCGAAAGATGGAGAAAGAAAAGGGAAAGAAAAGGAATGACAGGAACTGGTTAGTGGCAAAAATTATTTTCCTGGCAAATCCTGACACCCAGAGAACAGGAAGGCAGTGGAGGAAAGTAGCTACTGAACGAGGAAGGAGGAGAAAAGAACAACTCCAGTGAGGGAATCATAGAAGGTCCACACTGGAGCGACCCTTGAAGCTACTCCTCAATGGAAGACACATAGGCTAAATAGTCATGTGTGAAGTCACCATTGCATAAGTGGCAGAGTCCTGTCTGAGCCTCTCCTCAGTGCCAGGGTCCCTCTGCTGAAGGCGGAGATGTAGGGATGAGATGGACACATCAGGTAGGACTGCTGATGCCTCAAGTGACCTGAAACAGCGCCCTAGGTCTGCAAACCAAAGGCAAGAACTCCCGTAGGCAGATTAAGATGGGAGTCAACGATTTACATCAATTTGAGCACTCTGTCATTTTTGAAGGAACCCTGGTGGCTCAGTGGTTAAGCCGTTGGCTGCTATCCGACATATGTATATGTGTGTATATAAACCAAAAACCAAACCCATTGCCGCCGAGTCGATTCCAACTCATAGCGACCCTATAGCACAGAGTAGAACTGCCCCATAGGGTTTCTAAGGAGCACCTGGTGGATTCTAACTGCCGACCTTTTGGTTAGCAGCCATAGAGCTTAACTACTACACCACCAGGGTTTCCGTGTGTGCATATATATACATATATATATGTGTGTGTGTGTATATATATGAACACATAGTTACGTTCTGTAGTAAGTAATGTGTTTCTGTTTACAGATGCCTTATTTAGCATATATAAACACGTTGTGCGTGGATTTAATATTGGACAGAGGCAGTGACTGATGACAGGTAGCATTGTCCATGAGCAAAAGAATGCTTCAATTTTGTTTTTGCATGCTATCGTTGGGTTTATTTAAAAACTCTTCATAAATTGCTCCCGTCATCCAAGCTTTCTTATTCCATTTTCATTCTGTGGAAAGCTGATTAGTTTTGATATTTTTGAAGCACCTTGGCTTCTCTTTCCAGTTACGCATTGTTTCTCCAATGTCCCGTCCACACACGTGGTCAAGAGGACCATAAGCCACTCTTTGGAACACTGACCCAGTGAGCTTTTCTCCTCTTTCATCTTCAGGGTCCTATTAGGCATTGCCCTGTAAAATAGAGCAGTCTCATCGGTGTTTGCAGTGTTTTTTAGGATTATATCCCCTTATGATCTCTTTTAATTTTGTGAACCAGCTTTGAACATCTTTGCCAGCCGTGTTTGACTCCCCACAAGCTACACTTCAAGTGATTCCATGTAGTTGTTTTATTTTTAAGCTCTGACGCCACCCGTTAGAAACTGAGAATCCGTCAACTCTTAAAAGTGTTGTCATTTCCTTCACCACTGCATGTAGGCTAGTTCCTGAAATGCTAACACTTTTGGCAGAGGCTTGAAGAAACCACTCAAAAATAAATTTGTTGATTTCTGCGTAATTTCCATCCCTTCCTTTCTTCACATTTACATTGGTGCTGCCCATGTATTTCTCAATTATTTTATCCTTTTCTTTTCTAGTTGATTAAATTTGCATTTTGCTGTACTTGTACTTAATTACAGCTTCCTTGACTGTCTTTTTCTCTAAAGTTATCGTTTTGACAACGTCACACTTTTCTTTCAGAGAGAAATTTCTTACTCTTGTATCCATGGCTATGAAGGAATAGACTTTTTAAAAAAAGGAAAGAAAAGAAGAAATAAGTTCTTATAAAAAATAAGGAATTTATGATCTTATTTTCTTGAAAATGTGAATGTCTCATACAAAAAGATAAAAATAAAAACTATCAACATCATACATATATGATAAAGTTAGCACACTTCAGCAAAATATCTAAGAAAAAACCATGTGAAAAGGATGTTTGTGCTTTTGTACACACATTGAATGTGTTAAGTGAAGAAATGCTTCTCTGTTATTTTGGGCAAAACGAAATTTTGGAAAGAAGGACTTTCAAGGAAATGAAGGAGTGGATTTTGAAAATTGTAATGATGTGAATCAAAATTACAGATAGCTAAAGGGAAAACTAAAAAAGATGAGAAGGGTAAAACCTCTCAAGGCAAGGAAAAAAGTGTACTTGATTTTAATAAAAATAAAGGAATTTATTAACATCTCTTACTTTCTTCCAAACTTATGGATGTTGTTCTTTGCTGAAAAAAAAAACAAACAAACAAAAAAGGCAAATATGTAAAGAATAGACATACTCAGAGAAAAGTGGTAAGGCACCGTATGCGCTCACACACAGTAACAATGGAAAAGGAAGTGGAAGACTGAGCCTTCATCTTTGACTCTTGTATTTCTTGGAACTATTTCCAGCTTTCGCACCCACACTTCCTCGTATTCGGTTTGCAATACCAATGATTTTCTGATTTCGTCTGTGTCTCACAGGTTCTGGCTTTCAGAGAATATTTATTAGGCTGGAGTATTTCTTCAGAATATTTATTAGGCTGAAGTAATCATTTTAGTGGAAAATATTTGAGGTTTCCGCCTTACACAGGTCCCGGCTTTTGCAGGTTTTTCTGTGTGTGTGTGTGTGTGTGTGTGTGTGTTTGTGTGTGTGTGTATACACACACACATATATTTTGACTAGCAGTGTATGTATATCTGCTAACCAAAAGCTGGAGATTCAAGTTCACCCAGAGATGCTTCAGAAGAAAGGCCTGATGATGTACTTCCAAAAAAATCAGCCCTTGGATACCCTGTGGAGCAGGATTCTACTCTACAGTTCTACTCTGACACACGTGGGGTCACCGTGAGTGAGAATCCACTTGCTGACATTTGTTTTGTTTTTTTAAACTCACATTTAAACTACTACTGTCCCAGCCAAATCACAGGTCTGATCCCAAAGTCAAGGCGTGGGAAAGTGCACTCTACCTACCATGAAACTTTGGCAAGGGTGAGAGAGTAGAATTCTAATTCAGGGAGAAAGCAAAGAATTGGAAGTAATGATCCAGTACATCAAAAGAGGGAATGAATTTGAGTCATAAGGTGTTGAAGGCAAATGGCTCCCTGTGTTGGTTGGTTGGTTGTTTCCCCCAATCAGGAAGAACTCATATTGTATCTTGCAAAAATAGACATTTGAGGACTGATAAACACGTACAATTACCCTCAACCTTAAACTTTTTTTTTTGAGGAGGGAAAAGTACTCATAATATCCTTTTCTTTTTCTTTGTAGCCCATATGCTGATCCGCATCATTCTCCCCATGATTCTCTGCATTTTGTTCATCACGATCGTATGCTACTTCAAAATTCAGTGGTAAGTGTGTGAGGAAGATTTTATTCGAGAAATGAGTCAGAACAGAATCTAGAAAGGAGTTTAATAAGTTAGAAATGACATTGAATAATCTGAAAAAAAAAAAAGTACTGATAAGGAAGAGGACAAAGGCTTAGGTGAGAGAGCGTGCAATTTTGTTCACAGTTTTGCTTTACAGGTAGATACTGCAGGAAAATAATAACCATTTAAAATAAAGAGATTGAAAAAGGTTTCCCTAATAACAATTAAAAAAAAAAAAAAAAAGCCCAAACCGGTGGCTGTCAAGTCAATTCTGACTCATAGCAACCCTATAGGACAGAGTAGAATTGCCCTATAGGGTTTCCAAGGAGCGGCTGGTGGATTCCAACCTTTCGGTTAGCAGCCGATCTCAACTACTGCGCCACCAGGGCTCCATAATAGCAATAGCTAATATTTATATGCCACTATTATGTGTTTGCCAGTGTTCCAAGTGCTTTACATATAGTCACTCGTTTAATCCTCACAACCACACTCTAAGTACCACGATTATCTCCATTTAACCAATGAGGAAGGGAATTAAAGCATGGGACAGGTAAGTTACTGGCCCAAGGTCACACAGTTAGTAAGCATTAGAGAAAGGATTCGAACCCAGGAATCTGACTCCAGAGTGCTTGCTGTCAACTATTCCACCATCTTGCAAAACTCAGTCTAATTTTCATTGCTTTCCTAGGATGAAGGAGAAGTGTTACCCTGACATTCCAGACCCCTACAAGAGCAGCGTCCTGTCACTGATAAAATCCAAGGTAAATGCTGAGTTTGTATTATATGTATTTTTGTCTTTTGTATTGATTTCTTCTGTCAGGAAAAAATTCTTTGGTTTTTATCATCACCTTCTGTTTACTTATGACCAAGATAAAACATGAATAAAATCGAAGCTAGAAGTGCATTTCATACACTCAGTTCACTTAGATGTACACACACACACCCCCATTTATGTTTATATTTACATATTTCTTGTTTCCTTTCTAGGAGAACACTCACCTAACAATAATGAACCTCAAAGACTGCATTCCAGATGCTATTGAGGTTGTAAACAAGCCGGAAGGGAGTAAGACACAGCCCTTAGGCATTGGGAAGTCACTCACAGAAACCGAATTTACCAAGCCTGCGACCTACCTTTACCTCCTTCCAACAGAGGAGAATCCCTCCGACCCAGGACCCTGCGTTTGTTTTGAGAACTTTACCTATAACCAGGCAGCTTCTGACCTTGGTTCTTGTGGCCATATCCCAGTGCCACCTGATGCCCCACCAAGTCAGCTGGGACTATTGAACTCACCTGAAAACTTACTAAAGACACTAGAGAAAGACTACACGAACACCCTGGGAGAAATCTCAGCTGGAGAAACTAGTTTGAATTATGTGTCCCAGTTGGCTTCACCCATGCCTGGAGATAAGGACAGTCTCCCAACCGATCCACCAGTGCCAGCACAGTGTTCAGAGTATAAAATGCAAATGGCAGTACCCCTGGGTCGGGCCTCATCTCCCCCCAGTGAAGACAGCAGCCTCTCCTCAATTGCCCTTTTAGATCAAGGTGAACACTATCGCTAACCAGCATATCCGTTTCATACATTTATGCTACACAGGTACTAGGAGAGCTTTGCTGGCACCATTCCATCACCAGGTGCCCCCGTTCTTAATCCCAGTGAGTTATCACCATCTGCAAGTCTGATTTCTACAAGAACACTAATACATTGCTAGGTTTCAAAGCCCATGACACTCAGTATTCTTTCTCAGAGCAGGCTTGCACTGCAAATGGCAGGATCATGCAACAAAGATGCTTACTTTGCTGCTGTTTGTTTTAGACTCATCTTGTGTAACAATACACCTGGCACTTGACATAGTGACAGGCATTAACCACTCCACAGACTCCCCACCCTCCCCACCCTTCCCTCACAGTACTGTACAGGGTAGCTGTGCTCCTAGAAGTTCAGGTCTTAGTGAGAAAACGTTTCCATTAAATTCAGCTGTTGTTGTTGCTAGCTGCCATTGAATTAGCTTGTCAACCCATGCGACCCCAAGCACAATGGGATCATATGGCTGTGATCCATAGTGTTTTCACCGGCTAATTTTACAGATATAGATCACCAGGCCTTTCTTCCTAGCATATCCAAGTCTGAAAGCTCTGCTGAAACCTGTTCAGCATCATAGCAACAAGCAAGCCTCCACTGACAGATGGCTGACGGCTGTGCAGGAGACACACTGACTGGAAACTGAACCTGGGTCTCCCAGGTGGAAGGCGAACTATCACTGCCCCTCATTAAATTTTACGCCTATGTTTAATATTTTAAGAGTAAAGGAACTAGATTTAAGGCTTTAACAAAGGCCACAGAAGATATATTACTAGAGCATAAATTGTCAGTGTAAATTTATTGAGCATGCTTAATGAAAAAGTCATAGGTGTTCGTGACCGAAGCAGATTTTAAGACTTGCCTTGAAGTGATAAGAATTCGTAGTTCATTGATGCAGTAAAATTAACTCTTTTGGAAGTGGGGGCATAGACCTCCTCTAATAGGTAAGATGTGCGAATGAATGGGTAAGATTCACCCAATTCTTACCCAGTTAAAGAACTGGATTGGCAAGGAACTCCTGACTTAGTGCCAAGATAATTCCTGTTTACTAGATGCCAGTCTTCTACCATAATTTTTGATGACTACCTCAGAATAGAAAAAGTGAAATACATCATCTAGTAATCCCATTCACATTTTGTGGTTCCTCATTTTTTCCACAATTATATATAAATGAGCTGTTTTTACTTCGCATCCTTTGGACTCTGCAGTGGGTTGTCTGGGTCGAGATATAACACCGTCATCTCATTATATTCCTATTATGCTAAAATAATAAAATGAAATCTCTGTTAAACATCATTTAGAATAACTGTAAAGGTAGTTACATGGAGTGGTCTGTATGGGCTCAGGAGCAGCTTTGTGTCCTCTAAACCAATATATGCAAAGCACCTGGTATGTAACAGGTGTTTGATACATGTTAGTTTCTTTCTCTTCCCTCCACCTGGCAAACCCTGATGCCTATCACATATCTAAACAAGCATGAATAGGGTTTGCTGACTGCTTTCAGTGTGGTGGAAATGACTCTGCCTATGCTTATGCCTCTTGGTACCAAATGCCCTGCACTGTTCCACTCAAACACTAGGAAGAAGAGAGCAGTATCCACCACATCCTTGAAATAATGTGGCTGTCAACTGGCCTAAATAAACCTATTGCTGTCGAGTCAATTCCCACTCATAGCGACCCTATAGGATAAGGTAGAACTGCCACACAGGTTTCCAAGGCTGTAAATCCTTATGGAAGCAGACTGCTACATCTTTCTCACATGGAGCAGCTGGTGGGTTCAAACCACCGACCTTTTGGTTAGTAGCCAAGTGCTTAACCACCATACCACCAGGGCTCCTTACTGGCTTAAACAGACCTACACAAACCAGTATTTCTGTTCAGGCTCATCCAACATTTCCCCTATATATATCTAAGCCTTTTGCTGGAAAATATCGGTTATGTGCTCTTACCATATATAAATGAGTATCTTGACTAGTCTAATGGAGCCCTGGTGGTGCAGTGGTTAAGAGCTATGGCTGCTCACCAAAAGGTCAAATCAACCAGCCGCTCCTTGGAAACCCTATGGGGCAGTTCTACTCTGCCTGATAGGGTCACTATGAGTCAGAATTGACGGCAACGGATTTGGATTGGTTTTGACTGTATTGTCATCATTTCTTATTTATTTGTTTATTTTTATGATGCAATTATATTTTTTCATTTGAAACATGTATACAGAAATGTCAATGACAGTGATGACTGATTTTGTAAATAGTTTCTTTCGTATAGATTTTCTTAAAAAAATAATCCACAAAACTTTAAAGTTACTTTTTGTTCTTGCAACAACCTTAATTAAAATATTTCCCCATCAGATGATTTTGTGTGTGTGTGTATGTTAGCTCAATGAAATGAAAATCTGACAGTTACTCAGTATAGTTGATAAATTACCTTGTCAGCTTACTCAAAATGTAAATTCCAGTATCACTCTAAGTTTCTTAATCAGAATCTCTGTGGCAGAGGCCTGGAATCAATATTTGTAATCAGCTTCCAGGCATTCTGATGGACACTAAACTTTGAGAATCACTGGTCTAAATCAAATGAAGAAATCTTTCTGAAATATAACAATATACCCATAGGAAATGCTGAGCTACATAAATTTGTGTCTACAGAACCACTGTGAACTATAGTTTTGGCCATAAACATTCATCTCCAATGTTCACATCAATCAAATTTATACTTAAACTTTTTCAATACTATATGCCATCTTAACAATACTACTTTAAGAAGCTCTTATTCATAAACTTTGGAATTTGTATGTAAGTATAAGTATAAAGATTAAAAATGTATTATGGAGAATTTCAAATATACACAAAAGTATTTACAATAGTTTGATGAATCTCTGTGTACCATCATCCAGCCTCAACAGCTATTAACCCATGCCTGATTCACCCCATGTACACCCCTATCCACTCACTCTTCCTCCATATATTATTTTGATGTAAATCATATCATCTATAAATATTTATTTCTCTAAATGGGCTCTATTTTTTCTCACATAGCCCATAATACCTTTAGAAATTTGCACTGAAAAACTAAATTAGTAATAATTCCTTAGAAATTCAAGACATCATAATTACTTTTTAAATTAGTACTAATTCCTTAGAAATATCGGGGTGGTGGACAGGACTGACTAAAAAAAAGTTGTCAAAACATTGCTGAAAGAGATTACAGAAGAAATAAATGGAAAGATGTTCTATCTTTATGGATTGGAAGACTTAATATTGTTAAGATGTCAGCACTATCCAGAGTGATCTGTAGACTCAATGTAATCACGATCAAAATGCCTACAGCCTTCTTTATAGAAAAATGGAAAAACCAATCCTCAACTTTATGTGGAATGGCAAGAGGCCCCAAATAACTAAAGCGATGTAGAAAGAGAACAAAAGAGGACTCACACTTCCTGATTTTAAAACATTATACAGCTACAGTAATCAAAACAGCCTGTACCAGTATAACAATAGAACATAGACCAATGGCATAGATAAGAGACCAGAAATAAACACACACATCTATGGTCAACTGGTTTTTGACAAGGGTGTTAAGTCCATTCAATGGGGAAAGAAGAGTCTCTTCAATAAATGATGCTGGGAAAATTGGATTTCCACATACAGAAAAATAAAACAGGATCCATGCCTCACACCATACACAAAAACAAAGTCAAAATGGGTTAAGGACCTAAATGTGAAAACTAAAACCACAAAATTCTTAGAAGAAAATGTAGGGGCAACACTGTTCAGCATAGCTTTTAACAATGGATTATCTAGTATAATAACAACAGCATAAACAGCAAAAGACAAATAGATGGGACCCCATGAAAATTAAAAACTTTTGTTCATCAAAAGACTTTACTAAAAGAGTGAAACGACAGGGAACATAACAGAGAGTCCCTGATGGAGTGAGGGAAGGGTGAGATGCAGAACTCAAATTCTAGTAAAAGACCAGACTTAATGGTCTGACTGAGACTGGAGGAACCCCAGAAAGTATGGCCTTCAGAGTCTCTGTCAACCCAGAACTAAAACAATTCCCGAGGCCAACTCTTCAGAAAAAGATTGGACTGGACTGTGGGACATAAAATGATACTCGTTAAGAGTGTGCTTCTTAGCTTGAGTAGATACATGAGACTAAATGGATGGCTTCTGTTCGGAGGTGAGATGAAAAGGCACAGAGTGTCAGGAGCTGGTTGAATGGACACGGGAAATCAGGTGGAAAGGAGGAGTGTGCTGTCACATTATAGGGAGAGCAATTAGGGTCACATAACAATGTACGTATAAATTTTTGTATGAGAGACTTAAATTGTAAACTTTCACTGAAACTACAACAGTTAAAAAAAAAAGTGAAAGGACAAGCTACCAACTGGGAGAATATCTTCAGAGACCATGTATCTGTTAAGAATCTAATAACCAAAACACATACAAAACCTCGACAACAACAAAAAGACAACCCAATCATAAAATGGGCAAAGGATTTGAATAGATATTTCACCCAAGAGGACATTCCAATGACCACCAAACACACGAAAAGATGCTCAACATCATTAGCCATCAGAGAAATAACAAACCAAAATCACAATGAGATACCATTTCACTCCTACTAGGATGGCTTGGGCCGCTGGTGGCACAATGGTTAAGAGCTGGGCTGTTAACCAAAAGGTTGGCAGTTTGAATCCACCATCTGCTCCCTGGAAACCCTACGGGGCAGTTTTACCCTGTCCTATAGGGTCGCTATGAGTCAGAACCAACTTGATGGCACATAACAACAAGAAGGATGGATAAAATTAAACAAAATAACAAATGTTGGCGAGGATGTGAGGAAATTGGAACCCTCATCCATTGCTGGTGGGAATGCAAAATGGTATAGCCATTGTGGAAAACAGTGTGGCGTTTACTCAAGAAAACTAAAAATAGAACTACCATATAATCCAGCAATTCCATTCCTAGGTATATACCCAAAAGACTTGAAAACAGAGCCTCAAATAATTGCTTGTACACCGGTGTTCATAGCAGCACTATTCACAATAGCCAAAAGGTAAAAACAACCTCAATGCCCATCAGCGGATAAACAGATAAACAAAATGTGGTACATACAATGGAATACTACTCAGCCAGTAAGAGAAATGAAGTCTTGATA